CAACTGTAGGGAGTTGATAGCGCAGAAGAAATTTGGAAGTGATTCAATTGTCATCGTTAAATCGTTCTAGCTATAGATGACTATGCAGTACTCCATCGGCCGTGTCGCGGGTGCGGGTGCGGGTGCGGCTAGGATAGCCGTCTTGTCGCGAGGGTGGCTAGGCCATGTCGCGGGTGCGGGTGCGGCTAGCTGCCGTCTCCTACCGACCACGCACACTCGACGTCGCGGCATCATTAGTTAGATCCATTTGGTCGCTACAATCGTTGCCCTCGCCACTCTTCTTGTCGTCTTTCAACTGACTGTGAGGGTGTGAATCCTTGCCGTTGAATGGACCAAACGACAGCTTGCCGTCCAGCCTTGCCGCAAGGTAAGACTTCTTCAACTCTCCAGCTTTCGCAGCGACGTTTTGATGGTATGCAACAGTATCGCGCGAAGATGGATGTTTGGGCGACGTGAATATTTGTGTCGGTGCTTCCGCCGTCGATAGGCAGCTTTGGCCTTTGTGCACGCCGCGAGCAGGACGACAAATTGTCGAACAAGCACGGCCGGATCAAGCCAGTTCGCACCTCGATGCTGTCGCTTCAATGCACTTGTGCTTGGATGGGGAGGAGCCTCGTTACGTCGGCGCCAATTGCATGTGAAGCGATGGGCCATTCGTGGGCATGTACGAAAACTGCACCGCAAGCGCCCCCGTGACGGCTTGGATGCGATCGCTGGTCAGGCCAATCTTGGCTTTCTTCTTGTGCGACTCCAGGGACCTCGCGACTTTCTTGTCGTCCTGCCTTGTCCGAGTCGAGAGCTTTTCAAGAACGCAGTCGACGCGATGGTGCTGCAGGACTTTGGCTGCAATCGCACCGAACGTCTCGATACGTCGTCAGGAAGGACTCCAGTTCGCTCATGGCAACTTCTCGAGGACACACGCATGCGCTGTGGAGGACTGGTCGTGGTGCGATTACCGCCATCCACGTTTGGTTGTGCATTAATGAATACATGGCTCGTGCACGTCGCATGCTCATCCATCAACATCGAGACTACGTGGATGCGATTTCAGGTCCTCTTGACATGGGGAGAGCAGTCTTGTCGGGGAGGGGGGCTCGCAACCACCTTGACATGGCTAGACTGTGCCCTACTTCCGCGATTGTCCAGCTGACGAGTGCGTTGCATGTTTCCGACTCCACACGTGTCTTCGACGCATCTGGGGCTCGAACCTGGGTGTACGAGCGTAAAGTGGACTCGCCACGTCATCCACACCTCCAGTCAGCAACGTTAGTCAGCCGAGGGTGGAGTTTCCATGGCGCTTGCTCAAATTCGACTGCACCATGGAATGCCGTCTGAACAATGGAATTCAAAAGATTAGCACTGGTAACAACGTAGGACTCTACGTGAAGCAGTGCCTTTTCAATCATCGCACTCGCTCTTGACCAGGTCGCGCTGAGGCGACAGAAGTCGAAGAGGTGCAAAGGCCAGCTACGCGTCAGTCGCCTCCGACACCACGTCTTCCTCTTCGCCGCCTTCGTCGTGCGAAGGGTCGTTGGCGTCGAGGCTGTCCATCGCATGAGGAAGCACCGGCACAAAGATGATGTCCCTCAAGTTGTCGAGCTTCGCGCGATGCTGCTCCTGGCCTGCCAAGGGGCTGTCCGGGGTAGAGGCTGGATAGCTGAAGACGACACCGAGGGCCTCGTGAGCTTGCGAGGGGAGCTGCGCTGCCAACGACGCTCCACCGCCATCGATATTCTCAGCTGTCAGGCGGCGAGCAGGGGACCCACGACTTTGCTGGTCTGCCAGGCGACGGTTTGCCGGGGAGGCTGGGTAGTGCCCCACAACGTCCTCTTCCGCAGCTCCGACGGCTGGTTGGCGTTGGGCTGCGGTGCTTGGCGTGTCACTCCCGTGGCGCGTCGGAGTGCCGATATCCATCGAGTAGGGCACGTCGGGACCATCGTAGAATGGAGTGCGTTCGTGTCCGTGTGTGTTTCTGTCGTCGTTGGTGTTGGCCTTGGGGGAGAGCGCAGCGCGCTTCGGAGGACCAACAGCAGAACGCGTTGTCGCTCGAACGTCGTTCGAGTGCACTGGCTCAGGGAGTTCAGTGGAGCTGTCGTGCCCGACAGGTTCAAGCACAGAGCCGGGTGCGTACGGTGCATAGGCGAGCCAGAGAATGTCGTCGTGGGCCATGTTTTCCACGTGGACTTGTTGCTCACGAGCCAGGCGGCGCTGAGGACGAGTTGCTCCGCGGATTTCGTCCTCTTTCACTTGGGCGACAGCCAGGTGTCGCCCGAACACGGGGCGGTGGTTCTTGTACGCCGAAGCGTGCGCAGCAGCACGTTGGTCGTTGCCACGAAGGGTCATGGACGTGGCCGCGGCTGCGATGACAGCGAGGGTCATAAACACTTTCATTCTGGAGAGGGGGTGGGTGTGGAGTGAAATCACAAATGGCCATGCTCTCGATGTTCGTGAGAGCCCACCAGCCACGATGCAGTCTTGATCAACACGACCGTGTGCACGAAGATGGCAAGCTTGACGTGTACGACATTGTCCTGCAATCGTTACCGTCAGCCACTATATTGCACGTCAACTTCACCAAGTGCAATCT